ACTTTTTTTTCTATACAAATGTTTTTTGGCTGCTTTGTTTTGTGTATATAGTGATTATTAAAACTCAAAACAGAAGACCAAACAATATACAGTAAACCGCGCCGCAAAGCTACAAAACTGAAATCAAAATTCTACCTTTTCCTTGGTTATTTGGCTCTGAACAACGCGGCCCAGGAGCTACGCTTTTAGGCTGGCCTAAATCTATATATTATTAAGGTTCCTGTAACTTAGATTGCAAAGAAAAATACCTGTTTTTATTACGATTGCGAGTGAGAGGTCTAAACAATAAACCCGTATTTGACTCTGGTTGGCATATTGTGGTGTCCCTATACTGTACTTGCTTTATGGTGTGTATCTTTTAGACATGAAGCAGAAAGGTTGGAACAAGAAGCCAAGGGTCGACTAGAAAGGCAGAAGATAACAGATGAAGCTGAAGCAGAACGTGCTAGAAAGGAGTTGTTAGAGCTTCAGGCTCAAAGTGCTGCAGTGGAATCAACAGGACAAGCTAAGGCTGAAGCCCAGTCCAGAGCAGAGGCGGCTCGAATTGAAGGCGAGGCTGCAGTTCAACAGGCAAAGCTAAAGGCTGAAGCTGCTAAGATTGAGGCTGTAAGTCTTTCAGTTAACGATGTAACAACTTGAGGACATGAGCGTAAGCAGCTGTGAAATTAAAAAGCTTTAATATCATAAGTGTTAAGTTGTGTATAACTGCGATGATCAATCATGTCTTCATAACTTTCTCCGCAGTTCAAATGTATGATCTTTCATACATTCACTTGATGAGATAACTGGTTATTTCTGATAAAGTATCTTGCACCAAATGCAGATACCTACATTCATGCATTTGACTAAATGCAGAGGTGATGATTGTCATCTGGTCACTAATTAAGCTGCTCTTGGAATTTTGATTAATAATGTTTGCGCAAGTGGTTTTTTTCAGATGCGCTTAACACCGTCGTTTTCATCTAAACGTGGACGCTTGACGAAAAAAACATGCTCTAATTGGGTGCAAACATGGCATGTTTTGCCGTCAAGCATTTGAAGTTTGAAGGGCGTTCGAGCAAGTTTTGCTAAAATGGTAGTGAGAATGGCTATCAGAGATTTCTTCGAGGAAATTGATCTAGGTCCGTTTAATTATGCTTCCGCTTTTACGTGCTCTTCCAATCAGTGAAGTCGGCGAACGACAGTCGTTCGATGTTGCTTGTCTCGCGAGATGGTTTAGCGTACTTATGTGCAGTTGAAAGTTGAATACGAAACCTTCGACTTGTTTCACTCATTCGAAGCACAGCTGTCATCTCCAACACCTGATTTCTCAAATTCTTAGACAAATGAATGCATAATTTGAAGTGTCGCCCGCTTTAAACCTTTCAAATGTTTGCACCTAATTTCTGTTTCCGTCAGTTCATATTCCGCAAGCTGACCAAGTCGGTACAAACTGGGAGAGAGTGTCAGTACTGTACAGTGCACTCTGCACCATCTGACATTTAAGAAATCAGATTTAGTGTACTCATAACCAGATTGCTGCATCATTATTAGGTTCCAGATGTGAAACTTTTACCGGGTATTGTGAATGTCTTCTGAATTAAACAAGTTGAAGTTTTTGAATAATTTTGTTACATTCTGTTATAAGGAATCTGAACTGCAACGCCTGAGTAAAACAAGGGAGGCAGAGTTGAAGTACCAACATGAACAGAACACATTGGATGTAACAAAGGCCAAAGAGATGACAGGCATTGAGACAGACAAGTTTAAGAACATGGTGTCATCTATCGGTTCAGATACTATTCAAGCAATAGCCACGGCTGGACCAGAGATGCAGGTTTGTACTTTACCTATTTTATTTATTCCTTTTATTTTACTAGTATTCAGTAGATAAACTAGAAAGGGATAACCTCCTCTCCTTTTCACTTTCCTATTATTATCATTAGTAGTAGTAGCAGTAGCAGTAGCAGTAGCGGTAGCGGTAGCAGTAGCAGTAGCAGTAGCAATAGCAACAGCAGCAGCAGCAGTAGTAGTGTTAGTGTTATTATTATTATTATTATTATTATTATTATTATTATTATTATTATAATTACTATATAACTATTAAAATTATTTACTGAAAATCTACTTATGGCACGGTAACTTTTTGAATACTATTTGAAACATCTCACTGTAATTCATTTCTCTAGGTGACACCGCGATTAAATCCCCAAGCATTCTTTAAAAATTAACGTCATTCTTTAAAATTTAATGTCAAACCTCGTAAGAATGCTTAAAGCGTGTGTTATTGTGTTTTCAACTAACGTGAAACGTCCGTTTTAATAGAAATACGGATAACTTCAAGTTCAGTTTTCTCTCGCGGGGTCAGCTTGAGAGCTAAGGTCTCAATAAGATCTTCCTAATTTTATTCAAAATATTACCATGCCGTGAGGGTTTTTTGATAACTTAATTTTTGCCATTATTGCTCGAATGTTCTTCGGAAATCATCTTAAAATCTTTTTTGTTGTTGCACTTCAGGTGAAACTGTTGCAGTCTTTGGGTCTGAAGTCCACCCTGATAACAGATGGTAGCTCACCTATCAACCTATTTAGCACAGCTCAAGGTCTCATTGGTGCTCTTCAGCAACCAGGCTCTTCTGCAGACTACTGACTGTGTCTGGCTAATAAAGCAATTCAACGCAGCACCTAACTTGCGAGGCTTAGTGAAGCCTGTAATCACTGTAATGGTTAATAGAGCGATTTTCACTTGAGTGTCGAAAGCTAACAAAAAACCCTCCCTCTTCATCGTCCAATACATGTAAGAAGTATAACCAAAACCAATGGTGACGCGCTCCAACACGTTATCTCACGCTTCACTTCAGTTACATATATTTACTTTGTGTTTTGATTGGTTCATTGGATTGTCTACATCGTTTGTGATTGGCTAGAATGACTTTAACTTCCTTTTTCGACACTCAATTGAAAACCCGCTACACTCAGCGGAATAACTTTAGAATTATTTCCGTATAGACTAAGTTAAGAAGAAAAGGCTCCCAGACACTTTAAATCTGTGAAAAACTCAGAACATAATTTTTTGAAAATTGGTAAACATTCAAATAGACAAAAATGTACCAAAGGGAAAAAATGTCATTAAGTAGTTTGTCATTGTCTTGGCAACTAATTTTGATCACATAAACATCTGATTATATCTATTAGTAAATGCCTAACAGGTTTTGTTCTACTCGTGTATTGTCAAACATCATTAGGCTAAAGTAACTTCCAAGGAACCCTAATTTTAACTTAACTTTGAGAATGTATTAATGTCTGATGGAAGATAACAATAACAAACACAGCTGTGTCTAGAACTTCTTAGTTGTCATGCGACTACTTGGGATTGAAATATCGAGTCAGAAAATGGGTTAATGATGACATCATAATGGCCTAGGAATTTTTGGAATGGTCAGTGACTATCATAGGCACACACTTTCAGCAAAACCGGTCAGAAATTTGGGATTTTTCTACGTCTAAAGAACATATGTAACAATATCAACAACACAGTAGGAAACAGATCGCAAGGAAGCGATTAACCTAAATGATATCACTGAGTCAGAAACCGTTTGAATATCGAATATTGATTAGACTAATGTCAAAGTATCTCGATCACACCCTCGAGAGAGGTGATAGCAAATCAGGAAAACAAAATGGAAATCGGGTTTGAAGGCTCGATTTTCAGCGTTTTGGGAGTCCGGGTGTGATCTTCCTCTCAACGATGTGGCATATCGCATGAGTCAAGGAACGTGGGCTCAAAAAACGGCTGGCAATCAAGATTAAGGGATTTGTCTCGATAACAGATTTCACTTAAATTTGCATATCTAAAAGTTACCTGTCAGCTTTCTTTCGTGAATTCTCCAATTAATCGAACGCAAATGCTGCTGGGTTAACTGGAACTTTTCAGCCGTTCTAACTGTAAACTGACTGACTGTGCACAAGAAGCTTTGTGAAGCTTGAAACAGGGTGGTGCTTTTTGGTTCGGAAAGGGTTGCGTGATCCACAGTGCGACACTCGTCATGCAATGCAAGGTACAACTGTTCTGATGTGGGTTTTCCGCGTCTTCTGTCGTTTAAAACCGGAAGAAGTTGTTTCTTCCCATTATCTTGCTTTACAGTCCAAGTGTATTTTGTTTTGATATTGATATTTTTCCAGCCTTCCAGTTCTTTTTTTCTCCGCAAATGCTCATCGGGAATACTCTGCGCCAGTTCTTCTTTAATAGCCAATTGGGGTACGAGGTGCGTCACGGACGCTACCCAGTTAGAGAGCATTTCGACTTTAACCGGTTGATTTTAAGCCTCTTCAAGCTCTTTTCTCAGTTTTCGGACAACCCCGTTTTCAAGTAGAAAAACTACCAGTCTAACTAAAGTATTAGAAACTTAACATTCACTTTCCAGCAAACTACACTTCCTTATCAAAGCGATAGCTTCTTGCCACTGAGGAAGGCCATGTATTCTTTGCCATCACATTCCAAGTGTTTAATCGATATATACAGAAGGTTAGTGTTGCGGCATTTCGCCACTCACTGAAACTTCAAGACCCTTGAAGATCGTCAGGAATACTCCGCTTCGCGTCGTATTTTCATCTCAGTCTTTCGTGTCTGATATATTACGTGACTTACATCTGAAACTGACCCTGCGCCCGAGGTTTGTTTCATTAATGATATACATGAAAAAATTACTCGATTCTGATTGGCTGAGAGCAGTGTAGTTCAAGTGTAACAGCGCAAAAAGTGTAACACTAGTGCAAATTACACATCGTAATTCTGGATTATGATTGGCTGAAAGACGAGGAAATTTTCTAAGCCAATGATATCACGTAAGATGACAATGATAATTTTGTGCGGAAACTTTGAAAAAAGTTTTCACGAATGAGAAAAAATGGCTTCAAGAAAGACCTTCCGGCACTTCCTCTACGGGAATTTTTTCATGTTTATGTTATTAATCAGTAATCATACAGTTTTTCTTATTTAATTTGGAATTAATCAAAACTAAGCGGCTCGTGCAATTTCAGCTTTTTGAATAACTCACAAGTGCAAATAAATTCCAAATTGAACTCAAAACCGTATGATTACAACGGACAATTTAGCAGATATATAGGATCCCTGTTTTGGTGGAAACAAGTGAGAATTCTCCAGGTGGCGTGTGGCCTTTTCCATCTGTGTATCAATTTTCTCTGTCACAGTGGTTAGGGAGAAGCTGCAGGTACTATCAAAAAGCTAAACCACCGGGCGTATGAGACAGCGATGAAGTTCATCATTTGCGGGTCACGGAGGAGATTTAAGTACTAAAACAGCCTCAATGAAAAGCACGTAGGAGTATAACAAACATTGTAGCCCTTTAGCCTGTTTGAAGAGTTCATATAGCGCTTGTTCATTATCTCCCTTATGTGATCATTCATCTAAGGTCGGATTCTAACTTTTCATTCTGAAAAATTATTGTTGAAATGTCCTTGTAGAGAGTTTCCTAAAGAGACCATGGCTGCATCATCATTGACCTCAAAGATTCCAGCGACTGACCAACAGAGGGCGACCAAAGAGCACCTTCAATAGCATATCTGTGGGATTTGACATGAACTCGTTAGTTTTTAGCAGACATACTCTCTTTGTGGTGACGATTTAGAACTCCATAAACAAGACAGTGATCAGTGATCTGGTCTGATCTATGTAATCTAAACTCTTGTTTTCTCGAAAACACACGGAAGATGAGCTTGTATTCTTTTCAAAGCTGAAAATAAATGGAAGAAAGTTGAATGTCGGATGAAGAGATGAAAGAGGAACGATTTGCTCTATTTAACACGCAAATTTTCTCTTGATAAACAATGATAAACAAGAACTAATCTAATTATCAAATTGTCACGGAACAGCACTTTCTGTTGCCACCTTTGGCGTTAACAATAAAACCACTTAAATTTAAAATACACACTGAGGTGCGTTTCAACGAGAAGTATTGAAAGTAAACAGCGCTACTTGACCGAGATTATATCTTTCATTGGTGAACGAGTCCCCTCAGAGACTGATAAAATTTATGCTTTCACTAGGTGCCACAGAGTCTGCAGCAATATTTGAGCAGTTTCCAGGGAAAGTTTCGGTTGCGGGTATGAACATTTCGGTCTGTTTGATAGAGAGAATTAGAGGATGAAATAAACGCACTAGTGTAGTTTGGAAACATCGGACGACATTTCTTGAACCAAGTTAGGCATAATTCCAAAAGACACGCAGTCACAGTAGCATTCTTGTATCGCGCTAACGATGCTAGAACGCATGCGTATGACTTGTTTGGGTTCTACCACAAGGAAAAGCGCTCAACGTTGGTGTGTGATCTGGTATGAAATTAACCTGCGATCATACACTCCCTCCCTTATATTCAGACGTCGGTTTTTTTTTTTCCCTTCTCCCTTTTCCCTCCTTCTTTCCAAAAAAAAAAACGCCTGATCGCAGGTTAGTATGAAATGTATCTTCCACCTGCATGATATGTAGTTGACATTAACACTTATTAATCTGCGCTTGTATTTAGAGCAAATATTGATTTTGTCCTAAAGAGAAAAGTACCACAAGGAGAGCAAGAGGTTTTCTGAAACAAATATATAGCTTTTTGAAGCGACCAAAAAAATAGTGTAGGTACATATACCACTCATTTTACGTAGTGCTCAGAAGTACCTACTCCATCCTACCCCCTTCCTGCAAGCCTAATTAATTAATTGAGATTAATTTATTAAACAAACGTTAAAGTTTACACCTTATTGCCATAGTACCTTATTGCCATAGTACCTTATCACCATAGTGCCTTATTGCATAGTGCTTTAGCAGACATCAACCTCCAAACCATCCCAATAGTGCACTCCCCACTAAAAAGTGCAATATTCCTTATTATCTCACAAATACTTCAATTGCCATGACATTTGCCTCTGTCATTGCATGAAGAGGTACTACTATCTGGTGGCACCTATGGCCTGGAAGTTCTGGTACTTAATGTACGTTTTCCCTGTTCTTTTTCAGATACAACCTCATCAGATGATGTGGTTGTTTTATCCACGACAGTCACTAATTGAATGGTTGAATGCTTGGTGACATGTGATGTGGACCACGTCATTTTCACAAATTCCTTTCCTGCCTGAACCTCAACTGTCTACAACAGATCTTCTTGTTTATGTCCAGCCTTTACTAAACCAGTCAATAAAAACAAAGCTAGTGGTCTCATGAATAAGTGATAATAAAGTTAGTGATGATCTTTTGAAATAGTTACTGTCCCGAGTCCCCTATAAAAAGGTCACATCTTTGGTTTGGAAATCATCACAGTGAGCGCAACTCTTTACTCAGTTAAAGTAATCTCAAATGGGTTAGTCCATATTTAACGAAATGGTCCGTTCGAGTTCACATTTTTTTTTAAATGAGAATACAGGAAAATCAACTTCCAATTTTGATTCCTTTTGGAAACTGGTTTTGGCAATAGGTCATGTACTCCGAGATGATGAATGGTGAGCAGTCGAACTTGCTACTTGAAACTTATTATTCTAAAAGTTTTTCCAGGCTGCAATTACTGTGCGCTGTCTTGGAGAGAGGAGAATGGATCGCGAAGGTATCTGATGTTGCTGGCTTTGCCCACGTTCCTGTATCAATATACATATTTTAGTTGGAAAAAAAAGGATCTAAGGCCGTGTTCACACCTCACGACACTTGGTGCCCCAGCACTGTTGCCTGGGCACTGACACAAAGTGGTGTTGTGTTCAGCCTCTGGGTACTCTAAGTACCCAAGTACCATTTAGTGCCTGAGTACAAGGTCGAGACCATGTACCCGGACACGGTGTCTAAACTCTGGAGTGAGTACTTAGAATAAAGTTTGCTCATATAATTGTACTCAAGCACCAAGCCGTGAACAATCTTTAACCAAGTAGTAACGTGTACAAGCCAAAATTATGGGTTTTTACAGGAGCCAAAATCGGGGACGGAGACCATAAGTCTTGGGATCCGCGCGCACCTATGATATGGGACAAATTTTTTATTTTTAGAACAAATTGCGCCATCCTGACGTCATATATTCGCGCGGATCCACGCACATGTCGGGGGCTCTCGCGTGGATGTTGTCACGTTGCGTGATCAAATGGTGAGAGTTTCGAGATTCTCTTGCAGATTTTTCACAGCGTTGTCAGGGAATAAGGTAGGGAATAAGAAGCAGGGCTCTTATATGTAGTTTTATCCTTTGAGCTAATGGAAAAGGTGAGTTTTTCAGGGTCGAAAACATGACTTCAATTTCGTGCTGTGAATGAATAGTATCTGCTCGCGCTAGTTGTGCGCTTAAGCTTTTGAGTTTGTTCTGTAAAGAAAAGTTATGTAAGAAAACTCTTTACTCTAGCATCGAGTTTATTTGTGAGTTTCCAAAACAATACTTAATCATAAACAAACCCTGTTTTTGATAGTTTCTTATTGTTTCTGTTTGTTTGGCGAGTTTGCAAAAGTTTTCTAAAGGAAAGTCTGACGCGTACAAGTAGCTCATTTGCATAGTGCAGCGCGTGCACTTTCACTGGTCTGAGTCGGTACGTGTTTTCAAAGATTTCTTTCGTTATCTTTTGTGCTGAGATGCTGCAAAAATTTTCACCAACGCCAAAGGCTACTAACATCATTTGTGTTTCTTCAACATGGTGAAGTTTTACACTGCGAAAATAAAATAGAGAAGGAGTTTTAATAACTCGACCAACAAAATCGAAATCGTTATTCGAAGTTGATTAAAGCATGGATAGTAAAGAGACTGGGTCTTCTACTATCCGTGATTAAAGAAAGCGTCATCGTAACTTTGCTGATTATTTCTGCTGTATTCACATATTTTCAGCTAAACTTTTAATATGTTCTCAAACAGTTCTCAACCTTAAACATATTTAAAAACCATAGAAATATAGTATAAGTTCGATGAACGTTTTTACAGGCGAAAGTGCGGAAGTCCAATTTGTCATGTTTACTCACTGTACAGACAATTAACTGGATTTTTACACAAACAAAACTGAGCAGTATCTACAGACGTAAACTTATTGGGCCTTGATGAAACATCAAGCGTTGCTTACAATTCAGGCGAAACTCAAACTTGCAATTTTGTTTTACTTTCCGGTCGCGATAGACTGTGGCGAAACCCCCGCAAGCGTCTGGTAAGAGGAGGAAAACTTTGAAGTTATATAACACCGCTATATCCAAATATATCCAACTAGATTTTCGCTGTGTTATGGAAAAGCTGTTAATCTTCATTATATGTGAAATTTAGTGGAGTAATGTGGAGTTCTTGTAAAAGAAGTAGCGGAAAGCCAACTTGGTTAGCGATGTAAAGCGGGACATAATTAAATTCGACACGGTCTTACTTCACTCAGATTGGAGCAGCTTACGACGAAAATAATTAAGCAAAATTCCAATAGACGTAAACGTATTAAGTTGTGGACCAAAAATATCAAAAATTTCGGGAATTGTAATAATAAAATTGCCCCACAAGTCAGTTTTTTCAGTCACTGTTTTACTCCCATTTTCGAAAAACAAACTCTCATTTTCGAAAAAACAAATTCTTAATCTCGAAAAACGAACTCCCATTTTTCATAAGTGGATGTCCCTTTGGGGTTTCCGTACTTGTGGGGCAATTTTATTACTACAATTTTGACCAGAACGGGCCTCCATATCGTCTCGCCGAGGACGTCATTTCGCCCGACTAGCCGTCGCATCGAAAACGGGAGTATTTTGCGCTTGTTTTGCCCCAATAAATGTTCTTATCGACTTTATTTTTAGTTATATTGATAGGAA